TACCATCTCTCTTGCCTATGAGTCGGCAGGCAAGACCCCTCCTGAAGGCATAAGAGGCCATTCTACGCGAGCCATGGCAACCTCTATGGCTCTGCTTCGTGGTGTAGACCTCCCGGACCTCTGTGGAGCTGCAACGTGGTCCAGGGTGTCCACCTTCATAAAACACTACAGGTTGGACCTCTGAGCTAAGAGAGAAGCCAGTTTTGGGAGAGCTGTCCTCACGTCCCTACTTCAGTGACGGCCCCCCTTCCAGTAAGACTGCTCGCTAATCACCCTATCATGTGCATCCACAGAGGCCATGAAGAAGAAGAAGAGGTTACTTACCTGTAACCATAGTTCTTTGAGTTGACCTCTGTGAATTCACACGTCCCGCCCAGCCTCCCCGCTATCCATTACTGCTTAATTGGCTTTTTGTATCAGAAGAGCTTACCACTGGTGGATAAAATGGAACTGAGGCTTAGGGAAGGAGGAGCATGCACTGTAGGGGCAACACTTAATCAACCTATTTTTTCTCCTAAGCTCTAGAAAGTTCCGAGGAATCCGATACAGGCGCAGACTTGACCCTATCGTGTGAATTCACAGAGGTCCACTCGAAGAACTGTGGTTACAGATAAGTAACCACTTCTTCCATTTGCCATGACGTGATGGGACCAGTTGCCATGATCTTAGTTTTTTTTTATGTTGAGCTTCAGACCATTATTTGCGCTCTCCTCTTTCACTCTCATTAAGAGGTTTTTTAATTCCTCCTCACTTTCTGCCATCAGAGTGGTATCGTCTGCATATCAGAGGTTGTTGATATTTTTTCTGGCAATCTTAATTCCGATTTCGGATTCCTCCAGTCTGGCCATTCGCATGATGTATTCTGCATATAAGTTAAATAAGCCAGGGGACAATATACAGCCTTGTCGTACTCCTTTCCCAATTTTGAACCAATCAGTTATTCCATATCCAGTTCTGACTGTTGCTTCCTGTCCCACATATAGATTTCTCAGGAGATATATAAGTTGGTCAGGCACTCCCATTTTTTAAAGGACTTGCCATAATTTGCGGTGGTCCACACAGTCAAAAAGCTTTTTCGTAGTCAATGAACTAGATGTTTTTCTTGAACTCTCTGGCTTTCTCCATAATCCAGCGCATGTTAGCAATTTGATTTCTAGCTCCTCTGCCCCTTCGAAATCCAACTTGTACTTCTGGGAGTTCTCGGTCCACATGCTGCTGAAGCTTACCTTGGAGGATTTTGAGCATCACCTTGCTAGCGTATGAAATGAGTGCAATTGTACGTTAGTTGGAGCATTCTTTGGTACCGCCCTTCTTTGGGATTGGGATGTAGACTGATCTTTTCCAGTCCTCTGGCCACTGTAGAGTTTCCCAAACTTGCTGGCATATTGAATGTAGCACCTTAAGAGCATCATCTTTTAAGATTTTAAATAGTTCAACTGGAATGCCATCACCTCCACTGCCCTTGTTGTTAGCCATGCTTTCTACGGCCCACTTGACTTCGCTCTCCAGGATGTCTGGCTCAGGGTCAACAACCACACTATCTGTGTTGTCCGGATAGCCAAATCTTTCCGGTATAATTCCTCTGTGTATTCTTGCCATCTCTTCTTGACGTCTTCTGCTTCTGTTAGGCCCCTCCCTTTTTTGTCCTTTATCATGTCCATCTTTGCACAAAA